CCTATCGCCCCTAATAGCTGGCATGCTCTCTTTCCATCTGTCTTTCTCAAGCCCCATCAAGAGTTAACTAATACTGCAGAAGTAAAACAGCCTGGTTTCTGCTTGCATTCTGCTTGAAGCTGAAGATTTGGAGGAACGAGCAGGAAGAGAAGAAGAGAAAATTCCCACTGTGGGGTTTGCAGCCTGAAGCAATCGCTTCTCTTTCGGAGCTTTTAGCCACCGTGCAGGCGCGAGGAGGGGAAATTCAGCACCACGGACAGTTCCTCGCCCAGTAGCCTCGGAGCACAGGAATCCCCAGCATTGATAATCAGGGAGCTGCTTGGTGCGTCCTCACGGCAGGACTTCAGGTCAGCTGTGCGAGGCCCCATAGGAATAGGGGGCTGGCTTACTACATGCCCACCTCAACACCCCCAGATTCAGAGATTAAACGTTACCTCACCAGATTGCTGCTTTTGCTGGCCTTGCAAATAGACCTGCGAGTGACACCTGCACTTGGATCACACGAATATCCTTTTTTTAAAATTTCAGGTTCCCTCCAGCCCACAAGAAAGCCATAATACGTAAACAAGAAGACTCAAGGTATCGTCCTGAAATACTTCAAACAGTATTCCTTCCCTGGCCTGCTTGCTTGCTTTGATGGGATCTAATTACACATGTATGGCATTGCAGTAGCCCATTATATAACTGGTGCTGCTTGATATTCTTCTGGCAAAAGCACTCACTGGAGACCAGAGAAACATGTGCATTTCATTTACTTTAGCAGTATAGTCACTGGTTTAAAAAAGAGATGTAGACAGATGGTGCGTCATAAGCTCAGTTCGGATGCTCTATTTTGAAAGCTCTCCCCATCTCCACCCCCATAAAAAGTTCAGGATAGGAGTTATTTTAACTACCGATTCTCTACCTACCCACCCACCCACCACCCACCCTGCCATCGATTCATTTTAGTCCCATTCAGGCATTCAAATTTCTCAAGAAGGAAGGAGGAGGAGATGATGCAAGCTGCACCCCATCTCTGTCACCATCCTTTTGAACCTTCATAAATGGGGGACCAAATTCTGTAGCAAGGTGGATTCCTCTACTTCTGTAGGTTCCTGCACAATTAAGAGCTCTATGCCAGGAAAACAATTGCTGCACACCACAAAAAGTTTGTCCTAAGCCAACAAGAGTTACTAGTCTGTAAAATACTTTACAAGACTGTTGAGGGGAAGTCCTGAGAGGAAGGACAGTCCCCCTTGGCTGGCACATTCACTCTCCTACGCACAATCCAACTGTGACTTCATGTGATTCTGGTGTACTGGCGGCAACCACACAAGTGCTTAAATACAAGGAAGCTTTAATGGTCTAATCAACCTGCATGGACCATCCTAGAACAGGGAATTTTAAAACCAGTGTGTCTTACAAGAAAACACAGGAAGCTGCCCAGAATCCATCCATTTAACTGTCTAACCAAAGAGTTGTCCCCTCTGATTGGCAGTGGCTCTGCAGGCTCCAGAAGAGGCCCCATTCATCTCCTCAGCTACCCAATCTTTTTAACAGCACTGGCTGAACTTGTCACCTTTCTGCGTGCGGATCGCCTGCTCTACTGTACCACGAAGCCCCAGTCCTTTTCATGTCTTGCCAGGTAAAGTCTGGAAGCCGTTCAGGTGGCAGAGTTGTATAAGCCTAATTCTGTACAAGCCTAAGTGGAATGAATAACCATTTTCACTCTTTTCTATGTAGCTTCTAGGCTGCCATTTTAATTGTTTGTCCCAGGTATTATAATGTTATGGGCCAGTCTTACCCACAATATTCGACTAGTGTTATCCCTCATTTTCTAAGGATACAGACCCTCCAAGTGCAAAGCAATACATCTCTCACCAAGTCTCATCAAGGGCTATAACAAGGCATCTAGCAACCCTGTTTAAAAGCAGCCAGTCAGGAAAGGAGGGGAAGGGAGAAGTTGCTATGGCCAGAAGCTTCCACATGCTCCTTTCCATAGGACCAATATGGGATAAGCAAAGCAATTTTGGTAGATGTGATGTTGAAGCAGCAGAGCCAGGAGAAAAGCTCTTCTGCCTTTGGCTGCCATAGGATCCTCTCCATCCTTGACATTCATGTCTTTTCTTTCAGGTGACTTTGGGTCAAGCGGTTGGCTCCTCCATCCCCAGAACCAAATGCAACCTACTAATTGAAATGCTTTTGTGCATTCCAGTAGGAACATGTGCATTTCAATGGGCACTTGGTTCCATAGATCCCTGCTTCTTGCACTTGGTGGTGGCTGCTGGTAACCCTTTAATTGCTTTTCCCAACCTGATGCCCTTCAACTGATTTGGACTCCAGCTCTCTGCATTCCAGTTCATTGGCCATGCTGGCTAGGACTGATGGAAGTCAGAGTACAGCATGTCTGGCAGGCACAAGGTTGGTACAGACTGAGCCCTGAGAGGAACACTTCTATGATGGGCGGAGGAGCACCTTTTGTGGTCCTGGAAATAGCCTACCCATGTATTTCTCATCACCTTTTCTTCTACCACCACCAGCAGCAGCAGCATCATCCAGTACTTCCTGTACTCAGACTAGACCTGCTGCAATAAATGGGGCTTCTTAACAGTGCCGGCCCCAGTTTTCCGAAGGCCTTGGGCAAGGCACCTTCCATGGGCTCCCTCCCTCCATCAGTGCTTTCTCAGGGGCCGAGTCTCCAGCTTCTCCTCCTCCGTCTCACCACTGCTGCCACCTCCTTGCCTCTCGGGCACAGGGCAGCAAGCACAATGCCACCGCTCTTCCCATCACAACCAGGGCCTGGGCCAGAGCGAGGGGGACAAGCAGCAAAGAGTAGGAGCGAGCCCATGATCCCTCTCATCCGTGGGCCCCTGTGGGGCTGCAGATCTTCAGCAAGTGCCTGGCTGTGCTTGCTCTTGACGCCAGCCCAGCTTGCTGGCCATGACTAACTTGAGCCCCATTCGCTTCCATGGGCCCACACTAAGAAGGGCTACAATTGACTGCCAGATCTCTCACAGGCCTGGCAGAGCGGGGGAATGTCGCATCAAATAATAATGGAAGAGTCAGCCGGGCCCTTCCTCCTCCTCCTCCTCCTCCTCCTCCTCCTCACGTTGCCCCACTGAAGCATCCTAGGGGGCATTTTCTTCCTGCACCACTTTCCCAACTCTTGGGAAAGACACAGAGGACGGGAGGAGGAGGAGGAGGAGGAAGGCCCACCGTGGTTACACATCAAAAGCCTCAAGCAGTGCCCCCCACCGCCGTTTTTCCTCCTCCCGCCTTTCCTTGTGGGTTTGTTTTTTTTATGAATGGAATTCTCCAGTCGGATCCGGATTACTATGCCGCACGGCGCGCGCGATAGCCGCCGCCCGATTGGCTCCCGCCGGCCATTGACGTCACGCAGGAGAGCAAGGCTCGCGAAGGGCGGAGCCGCCGAAAGCCCGAAGTGTGAGTCACGCCCCCGCCCCCCCGCGCGGAAGGGGGCTCGTTCATTATAACGGCGCCGCCTGCCCCCAGCGCCAGCCAGCCAGCCAGCCAGCCGCCTCGGCCACTGCAGCGCAGCCGAGCCTCTGTCCCGCAGCCCGCCGTCCACTCGCGCGCCCGGAAGACCCCTCGCGGCCGCCGCCGCCGCGCCCGGAGAACGAGCCGCCCCAGGGTGAATGAGCGGCTGCAGCGCCGTGCACGGTGAGTAGCGCCGCCGCCTTCTCCTTCCCGCAGTGCCTGGCGCTCCCCGCGGGAAGGAGCCTGCCTCTCGGCATCCCAACTGCGCGACCCGCGTAGTCGGGTCCACTCAGAAATACCCCCCCCCGCCCCGCACGCCGGATTTCCTGGAGCAGGACCGACTCCCAAGGACGCGGGGGACAGGACGGCAGCCGAAGCCCTTTCCCTAGCAGGTGACAAACGCCCTTGTCCAATTAATGTAATCGCTTAATGAATGAAAGGCATTTCTGTACCGCCTGATAGTCGATGCTCTCCGGGCGGATGACGGACAGAGCAGGACCCTTTTTCGGGGGCTGCACTCCTCTGCCTCGCTGTCCTTTTTACCCGGGAGCAAGTCCCACTGAACTCAACAGGACTCCTCTTGGAGCACACAAGTACAGGATGGGGCTGAATCATTTTGGAGACGACAGAGAGGAATCGGGCTAGAAAGAACAGCCGTAGGTGCCCCTGCGCCCTGAGCATCCACCTCGCCCACCACCCTCTCTCGAGAAGCAGTGCAGGTTTCGGGCCGTCCTTTGACGGAAGACGTGCCTGCATCTCTGTGCACGCACTGGCTTAGACACTCGATAGAGAAGGGGATAGAGTCCAAAGAGGGGACTGGAGGGAAGCAAAACAACTGCTTTGGCTTCCGAAAACAACTCTCGTTGGCAGGCAGGTGCCAACCTTTACAAATCTGCAAGGGCCCAGAGGATAATCAGATGCAATTAGAGGAATAGTCACACCAGGTATTGCTACCTGCCTGAAGCATCCATTACAGAGTCTTATGTTTCCCTGTAAACTTTAATAAAGTCCGTGATTTAGAAGAGCCAAGTTGCCAGGTACAATAGAATTACTTTCCAGGCACAAAGTCATGATGTGATCTGCTGAAGCTTATGTTGACAAGAGACAACAGAGAAAGCTGGTTTACTATCTTTTATCTTGATGGCTTTATTTGAGGAAGAAAAAGGGACAGGAGGGGTGGCTGGGTGGGGGAAAGGATTGCAAACAGTGACACCTCCAAGCCAGATATATTCCATCCAGGGACCGTTGCGAAACAAGCACACCGTGATCACATGCTGCCTGTATGTGTGAAGTTAATCTGTACTTCCTTTGCCCCAAGATCCTCAGCCAGCTTGGTGGCTAAAGATAGCCAGTATGTCCCCACTTTGATTTCCAGCACCAGAAAATCAGAATCACTTCAGAGATTCCCCACCTGCCCACCATTTGGGTCCTAGACACTCACAGATGCTCCCCAGTTTCTCTCATCTCTCATAGGAAGCTGAGTGGAGTTTTTTGTGCACCCTTGTAGGTTGTAGGTGGACAACATGAAAGAGGAGGCGCTTCCCAACGCTACAGAAGAGCAGCCTGGCTGGTTTGTACCTGGCAACACCAGCAGCAACTCCTTGTACCTCTCCAAGGCTCCTCCTCTTCCCCTGAACCCTTGGGATGTGGTTCTTTGCGTTTCCGGGACCATCATCTCCTGCGAGAATGCAATTGTGGTGGCCGTCATCTTTTACACCCCTGCCTTCCGGACTCCCATGTTCCTCTTGATCGGGAGCTTAGCCACTGCCGACCTCTTAGCTGGCTTGGGCCTCATTTTCCACTTTGCCTTCATCTACTGCATCCCGTCCGAGGCGGTGAGCCTGGTGACGGTGGGCCTCCTGGTCTGCTCGTTCACGGCCAGCGTGGGCAGCCTCCTGGCCATCACCATAGACCGGTACCTGTCCCTCTACAATGCACTGACCTACTACTCGGAAAGGACTGTCACCAGGACGTACATCATGCTCATCATCACCTGGGGGATCTCCATCTGCTTCGGCCTCTTGCCCGTGATGGGCTGGAACTGCCTCAAGGACAACTCCAGCTGCAGCATCGTCAAGCCGCTGACCAAGAACAACCTCATCATCCTCTCCATCTCCTTCTTCATGGTCTTTGCCATGATGCTGCAGCTGTACGTGCAGATCTGCAAGATCGTTTGCCGGCACGCTCAGCAGATCGCCCTGCAGAGGCACTTCTTGGCCACCTCGCACTATGTCACCACGCGGAAAGGGATCTCCACGCTGGCTGTCATCCTGGGGACCTTCGCTTCCTGCTGGCTGCCGTTTGCCATTTACTGCCTCCTGGGAGATTACACCTACCCGGCTCTCTACACGTACATGACTGTGCTACCCGCCACCTACAATTCCATGATCAACCCCGTGATCTATGCCTTCAGGAACCAGGAAATCCAGAAAGTATTGTGGAGCATATGTTGCGGGTGCATCTCTTCCGCCATGCCTTTCCAGTCCAGATCTCCCAGCGATGTATGAATCTTGCCTCCCACACTAGCTGGCTCTGCTCAAACAACTTAATCTGAAAGCAGCCTCTTTGTTTGCACAATCCCTTTGGATTCTGGACAAGAGACATCAAACCCATGGCACCCCTTTTCAGATTTCCTTTTCCCCCTGTAAGTGAAATTGCAGTTATCCTTTATTTATTTTCACAGAGAAGAAAGAAAGAAATATATCATTTATTTTTTTACCCATTTTCTAAAAGAGTGTGTGTGTGTGTGTGTGTGTGTACATGTGTGCGTTACACATTAAGAGATTCAATAGAAATATTTTATGTGAAATATTTATAATGCATTTATTTTCTTAAAATGGAAATGGGAAGAAAACCTTTTTGACCTTGCTTTTGAGTTTCTATAGCCTTAATTACCTCAGAGCTTCAGAAAATATTTTTCTACATTTAAGCAAATACCATTGTACCCCTTCCATCTTTTTTTATTTTTACACTGAGGGAAGAGGAGGGAGGGTCCAGCTGTTAAAGGATGTGTGTGCATTTTTATGTATAAATGTATTTATTTAACGATTTTCCTGCTTTTAAAAACAAAAAAAAAATGATTTTCCTTTGCCTGTATTTTGCTGCCCTCTGGTGTTCACTCTTTTTTTTATCACACACAAGGATAGGGAGGAGGTGGAGAGCAGGAAGGTTTCTTTTGCATGTCTATTGTCAGTATTAATAAATGAAATGTATAACTAAGACAAATAAACCATGTATGCAGAAAAGAGATTATTATGATGCTAAAGGGCCTTACGCTAGAATAAGTGATTTAGGATCATAGCCTAACAGTTGGCATTCCTGACTTTGGATCCCAAGACATTGTGCTACAACTCATTCCATCAGCCTCAGTCAACACAGTAGTTGCTGGGGATGATGGATGTGTAAGTTCAATCATATTTGAGAGACCTGATGTTGTTGGAAAAAGCTGGCCTGAACTACTGTATTAGGAACCGGCTGGCATGGGTGGAGGCAGGCTTTCTGATCAACGGGGAACAGAATCTGGTCAGCCAGTCCACAGTGAAACCCCCAAACCACAGAAGCCCTTGCACTGCGCTTCCCCCCCCCCACCCCCATTTGCAGAATCCTGGCAAGGAGATGAATGTAAGCAGGCACTTTGAAAATCTGACTTTTTACTACTGCACTGCAGAGACGTGAGGTGATGCTTTGTATGAGTTGAAAAGTACTGTATACCTTTGTTTACAACCATCAGGGAAAACAATAAAGAAATTGTGATACTGGTAGCTTGCTGTTTGTCTGTGTGCTGCATAAGTCAGCCTGCCCCACCCTGTCGCCCTACCAGAGGCGTTGGATGACAACTCCTGTGCAGGCTGAGGATGATGGAGCTGCGGTCCAACACACTTGGAGGGCTCCTGGCTGGCATAGATGGATCTGGGGCTGGTCTGAGACACTGAAAGGGATGCTGAGGTGCACCTCCAGACTTACTGCTGCCCCAAGAGACTGTTGAGTCATCCTCCCTATTGGCAGGCATCTGTTTTGCCTGCTGAACTTATGCTGGATGGGGGACACAGAAGGCGATTGCCACCAACCCAGTTGGGCCCCTCATTACAGGAAGGATATAGCCAGGTTGGAGTCAGTGCAGCGTAGGGCCACAAGGTTGGTGGCCGGTTTGCAGGGGATGCTGTATGAGGCGAGACTGAGGGAACTGGGTCTCTTCAGCCTGGAGAAGAGGAGACTCAGAGGGGATATGTTGGCGACATACAGGTATGTGAGGGGATGTCACATGGAGGTGGGTAGAGACCTGTTCTCCCCTGCAGAGGAAGGCAGAATGCGCTCCAACAGAGCAAAGCTCAGGGAGCCAAGGTTTCGTCTGGATGCCAGGAAGCATTTCCTGACAGTCAGGACCCCGAGGGTGTGGAATGGGCTTCTACGAGAGGTCGTTGAGGCCCCATCGGCGCGGGTGTTCAAGGATAGGCTGGACGTGCACATGGTGGGCATGTCGTGAGCGGAGTCGGCTGGTGCCAGAGGTCAGACTAGATGGCCCAGGAGGCCCCTTCTGACTCGCTCTGTTTTCTATGTTTCTGTGTCTTAGGGGATCTCTCGTGTTATTGCCATCGAAATCAAGGTGGCTCTCCATTTATCCTCACAACAACCCTGTGAGGCAGGTTAGGCTAAGAGTCAGTGACTAGCCCAAAGTCTCCCAGTGGGCTTTGTGGCCAAGGAGGGGCTAGAACTTGGGCCTCCCTTCAACTATTACATCTTACTGGCTCTCCTGGCCTGACAGTGCCAGCAGGTTCTGAGCAAGAAAACCAACTTGTCAAATTCGACAGACCAGTTGTTGAACCAGCAAAAACCAGCAAAGAACCAGCAAAGACGGACCAGCAAAGTCGTGCCCGACCCATCGCGACCCCATGGACAACATTTCTCCAGGTCTTCCTGTCCTCCACCATCCCCTGGAGTCCACCCAAGCTCACACCAACTGCTTCAGTCACTCCATCTAACCACCTCATTCTCTGCTGTCCTCTCCTTCTTTTGCCATCTATTGTTCCCAGCATTAGACTCTTCTCCAGGGAGTCCCTCCTTCTCATTAGGTGGCCAAAGTATTTGAGTTTCATCTTTAGGATCTGGCCTTCTAAAGAGCAGTCAGGGTTGATCTCTAGGACTGACCGGTTTGATCACCTTGCATTCCAAGGGACTCGCAGGAGTCTTCTGGGGACACAAACAAAAAGCTGAACTAGGCTTCTCCATGCAAAATATAAAATTGCTAGCTTTTTGCGACTAACACAGGGCGACCGGGAAACCCCATGTCTGCTCCAAGAGCTGGCTGCATTTCTGTGCCGGGCACCCAAAGAGGAAGAGCCTTGTTCCCCTTCCTCTCCAGGCCATTCCTCTCCATACAGCCCATGCCTCCTTCAGCATTCCATTTATACAGTGGCCAAGCGAATGTCCCAGTCAGAAACTATTATAAATAGTAACACTATTGAGAGACAGACTCCCCTGAAACCAGAGATAATATATAACCATCCTGACCAGTAGCCGCTGACAGCCTCATCCTCCAATAATTTCCTCTCATGCCCTTTTAAAGCCATCCAAGTGGCTGCACTGCCTTTTCACCTGTGTTGGCCAGGTGAGCACTTCATTACAAAGCTGACATAGCAGATCTATCATAGCATAATTTTGCAGACTGATATCTACAAATGAGCCAGGCAGCTCAGCAGGAGTGAGTTTCCCCAATATCTGGTGAGACAAGCATCTGGAACCCTACAGAACCATACCCAGAAAGTGTCTCATTTCCACATCTTTGAAGGTAAACAACAAGAAAAAGTTTCTTGCCTTATTTCTGCTCTTCACAAATGAAATCCGTACAATGCCAAAGGAAGTTCTTCTGTTTAAAGGACTTTCCAGGCCAAGATACATTTAAAGATAAAGGATCATAGAAAGAGAAAGCAGAGCCATGAAATTGCCCCTTCCCAGTGAGCACCTGGGCAGCAACCATCACCTGGTTGTCATCGCCCTTGCTAAGGTATCTCCATGTCACCGACACACTATATTTCCAAACTGGAGCCATACATATCCATTAGCACAGCTGTTCCCAACTTTTTATATGCCCCACATCCCCAGAAAATGATGGCTTTATGTTCACACCCCCTGCAAAAGTAATATCACATTTGAACATGAAAAAGTAAAATTTCTAATTCTGAACACGCATTCAACCACTTAAAGTACTGTAGGTGAACTTGAAAAACAGGCTTTTAACTCAGTGCATAAAATTCAGTTTTGGTGAATCACAACGCCACCTTTTGCCTCTTTCTTGCACCCCCTGAAATGCCATCTCAACCCCTGGGGGGGCTATGGGCACCCCAGGTGGGAAACCCTCGCATTAGCACATGCATATTTAGTGATGCCTTTTGTGACAACCCACACTCTCTAACCCACTTGGGGGTGTTCCCACCCAAGCCGCACTTGGGTTGTTGCCACCGGACATCAACGCTGCGTGTGAGCCACCACCAGCAAGTTAAGCCTGGCAGGCCTCCGAGACACTGCCTTCAAGGAGTGCAATTTCCCCCCCAAGCAGCAGTGAGGGGGTGACAGACTGCACGTGGACAACCCCTTCTTCTCTCACAAAGGCAGGGGCCACGTGCTCCACAGTTTTGTTGCTGCCCACCCCAGTCAAGGAGAGGGGCAACGGATGCTTCACACAGTTCCCAGGAAGTCCTGTGAGCAAGAAACCAAGGGCACGACCTCCTCCTCCCATCCTGCCAAGCGAGCTGGTGCAGGTCCCCTTCTAATCCCTTTTCCTTTTGTGCCATATCTCTAACACCATCAGCCAAGAACAGCAACTATCTTATTTCTTAATCCTGTAAACTGCTCAGGGAACCTTGTTGGCTAAAGGACAGTATTGAAATGCCACAACAAAAAATAAACAAATGCACAAATGTAGGGACTGGGGTTTGAATGCCCTTGAGCACGGGGAGGCCATGTCCAGGAAGTTTGCTTCTTCCCAGGGAAAAGGAGGCAGAAGGACATGACTCCTCTAGGATCCAGGCTCTAGCAATGGAAAAATACTCTCTGGCAAAAGAGGAGGGAGAAAGCTGCCCTACCTTCTCTGCCAGACAGCGCTGCTCCAACATCCGAGTGGGAAGGTTATGTCCTTGGCCAGCGTCTTGTGCCTGATTCAGTATGAGAGAGCTTCCACTGTTACTACCGTTATTAACACCTGTGAACCAGGCTCTCACTGCCAGCTGTGGACTAAATGGGCAACTGCCTACACCTGGCCTGAGCTGGCCTGGCAGAAGACTCACAGCAGGTCTGAAGAGGGCTGCCTTGAGCAGCAGTGCTGGACTCTCCCACCGAGGGAGGGAGTGCTGGCCCTACCACCTTGCCAGCCCTCTCTCCCACTTGGCTTAGCCTCTCCACCAGCCCCCTTGCCATCTCCGCAGCCTTTTACCTGGGCCGATGCTGGGCCTGGGGGGCCGAAGCACTGCAGAGAGGAGCTTCAGGGGCCCCGGTCCTGTGAAGAGGACAGCCT